GCTATGAGTCGCAAACAACTCGACAGCACATAACAACAACAACAACAACATACCTATTCAATCTGTAGACAAAGCAAATAATTCTAAAGAAAAAGAGTGTGGCATTAAGACTGGAGAAAAACCTCATTAATAACTTGGGTTATGCAGATGATTCAAGTTTGTTAGAAGAAAGTGAAGAAGACTTGAAGCACTTATTGAAGAAAATTTAAAAAAACCCTGCAGCTTTCAACATCAAGAAGACAAAAATCCTTACCACTGGACCAACATTATGATAGATAGAAAAAAGATTGAAACTGTCAACAATTTCATCTTACTTGGAGCCCCAACCAATATCATGGTAACAACAATTAAGAAATCAAAAGATATTTTGTACTGGTAAAGTCTACTCTGAAGGACCGTGTTAATGTGTTAATGTGCTAAAGAGCAAGGATATCATCTTGAAGACTAAGGTCCACCTGATGCAAATCATGCTAAGTTGGACAGTGAATAAGTAAGATTGAAGAATTGATGCCTTTCCAACGCAGTTTTGGAGTGAAATATTGAACATATCCTTGGGCTACCATAAGAACAAACACATTTGTCTTGGAGGATGTGGGACCAGAGTGTTCCTTAGAGGTAAAGATAGTGAAATTTGTCGTATGTTTTAGGCATGTTGTCAGGCGGGGCTAGTCATTATGCTGGGAAAGGTGGAAGGTCAGGGAAAGAAAGCAAGATCCTCAACCAGATAGACTGACAAGGCGCCTATGAGAATGGACCCAGCACGTTAGAAAGCATGAGGATTAAGCAGGTAAGGCTCTGATCTATTGTACACAGGGTCATAAGTCATGGTCAACTCAAGGTCACATAACAACAACAGGTATCAATGAATTAATTTATATGAGATTATAATCACAGGCAAGAGACTTAAGATTTGATATTTAACTTTAATATTTAATATTCTGACCTTGGGTCAGAAAAAGAGGAGGAGCCTCAATGAAATGGATTGACACAGAGACTGCCACAGTGGGCTTGAGCATGGTGGAAAGCACGAAGATGGTGCAGGACAGGACAAGACTTCCATTGTTGTTTATAAGGTCACAAGGAGGCGTTCTTGACTGGATGATGTTTAACAATAACTCACTTGTATGAGAAATGCAGTACATTCACATGACAAAATAAAACGCTGCACACAGGAGCAATGATTTCAAAATTACTACATAACCTTGGAGAGACTGGAGAGCATTATGCTGAGTGAACTAACTCAGTCTCCTAAGGACAAATACTGTATAAGACTATTATTGTAGAAGTAGAAAGACAATTAGTAAAACGTGTGTGAGGATCCAAGTGCGGGAAGGATAGGATCAGAGGGATGAGAATGGGTAGGGGGAAATCACAGGGTCACACAAGTTGATGGATGGAGGAAAAGGTGAGTCAAGGATATGGGAATAATCCGGCAGGGTTCTGGAAAGATAAGGCAATGGTGGGCATAGCTCAATGTTGATTAATTTTTTTAAGATATAATTAGTGGGAATAATTGTATGAAACACAATGTGAATGAAGATAGTAAGAAATACAATGTATACAATCTTTGTAAGCAAATCAGTATAAAAAAAAACCCCTTCTTTCATTTAAAAAAATCCCCCCAAATCCATCTATAATATTCTTACCGTTAGCTTCTCCATCAAATTCATGTTCTCCCTATGTAAAAAATACAATCACTCTATTCCACAAAAGAAAACAAAATAGAACATAAAAATAAGAAAAAAAAATATATGTAAACCCCAAATTTCTTAATTTAGACTTGAATGCGGTTAAAATCAGAGGTTACGGGGGGGGGGGGTTTGGTAACGGAGTCTGGAGAGAATGAGAACACTTAACCTACTAGCACAACCATTTTAAAGTACAAAAATCAGCAACCAGACCTGAACATTTTGTCACTACAAGAGAAGAAGAAAATGTCGGGAATATTAAGCAGCCAGCTGCCCTGAAGACATTGAGACTATAAACATCAAGGTGAGTTGACAGATTTTTCTTGTCACACCTTTATTTACTCTGAACCTTGACATAGTCAGCTGGAGTCCTGACAAGCACTTATTTGCAGGAGAGCCCCCCCCATCCCCACACCTGAGCCGTTCTACTTGAACTCTAACAGTGCATTGTTTTATAATTTTAAATCTTATACGATAATGCTTTTGACTTCTTGTGCGATCTGTATTTGCTTGCTAGATAAGTCGATTTCTTAATTCATTCATCTTGTGGTATCTACCTATCAGCCGTGACTGCCCTGAGCTTCCTTAGGCTCCATTAGAATTAACAAGTGGAGCTATCTCCTTAGAATTAGGAAGACACTTGCTCTCTGCATACAGATGTCACACACATCAAAATGAAGCCTGAAATTCAGCTCCTGAAAGGTCACAGCCTTGAAAACCCAGTGGACCATTTTACCCTGCTCACACAGGGTTGGAGTGGACTTGACAGCAGCTAACAGCCACACGTCAAAGTAGCTGGTGATTACAACAGAAATGTCACCAAAATTGCTACCTTTTCCTC